TTTTCATTTTCAATTTCATAGATTGTTTATAATGACTTTTGCTAAAATTTCAAAATCAAAAGTTATCAAAACAAATTCTATGGGACTGAGAAGTATTATTTTCTACTTTTTAGTCCATTTATAAAAGCGTTATATATTAAAAAGTTATTTTTATATTATTTATTTTCTACTTTTTAGTCCTGTCTGAATAAAAGTTTGCAATAGATATTAAAATAATTCAACGATATTAATAGAAAGGTGCACACACATGCCTTTACATATGTATGTACATACAAACGAGCACCAATTAATTTTATATAAAAAAATGGCGTGTCGACTATTTCCGCTGTAGCAAACGTAGTACATAGGGCGACATCTAGATGTCATCTACCTCGCCCTATTCACTACAGCTGTCGCCCTATGCACTACTTCACTACAGATGTCGCCCTATGCACTATGCTTTTTTATAGGAGCTTTTCAAAGCAAAGCTTTATGGTGTCGGACACACAACATTGAAAGTTTCTGGAACACAACATTGAAAGTTTCTAGAACACAACATTGCAAGTTGATAAAAGCGTTGTAAAAACGGTACGGTTTCCGGGGTTAGACAGTCACCATTAGGGTGTTAAAAGATCTCTTTGTCCGCAGAGGCTCTATAGTTTGTATTCTACGAGTCCAACATACGTACACACAACTACGCATTATTTTAGACCGGTTCTTCGCATAAAAATCTCAACATAACAACATAAAAAGCATAATTTTCAATTATTTGGCACGTCGCGCGTAAGTTCGCACGTCTGCCACGTGCATCTTACACACATATGTACATACTTCTAATAATAAATTTGATTTCGGTTCGGATGGAATTTCACAATTGTATGATTTCTTCTTATTACACTGTCCTTTGAAGAAGCCGTTCAAAAATTACCTATGTGTGTATGTATTTGCATATATTTGCAAAATTAATTTTCGCACAAAATGTAAAAGCATTAAGACTATTGTATGTATTTACATATATTACAGAACTACACATCGCATGTTTGCTGGAAGAATGTATTATTAACGAAATTGTTTTTTGTTATATGGTGAAAATAAAATAAAATTTGCAATTTTATTCATTTTCACTTTGTTTAGCAATTATTTCAACTAGAAAACAATCACTGGTTGCACAAAGAACCGAAGCAGTTACAGTAAATTTGATATCAGTTTTATCCACCGATTTACATTAGTTGCTTATTGGTTTACAGAACGCAAAACCTAACTAATAAGCTCAACGCTTTTATAACATTTTTAATTTCTCTAGTTATGTCCTTCTTCAAGCAATATAAAAATAATAGAGTAACAATATTAAACACGACATAAAAACGAATTGGGCGAAAACTGCGTCAAAGAAAAATTAGCTCCCTACTCTACTTGTAATGTGCCAAATGGGTCAATGGACATCGATTGATGTGTAACCTTGAAATTGTCCAAAAAATGAGAATCACGAAATAAGAATCAAGAATCAAAACATAAACACTTCAGCCGTAATATGAGGCATACACATACATACATACATATCGTCGTTTCTTAAAGTACAAAACCGCGTATCAACAAAACGCAAAACCGCGTATGTGAGGTTGCATAAATTATTTTCCAGAGAGTAAAAACACTCATACATATTTCAAAATGATTCCCGTTTTTTATAAAGCAATCGCATTTCTGGCTAGTATATTTTAGGATGAATGAAAAAGGATTAAGCCAAGAGCTTGTGTGAGCAAATCCAATTTTTGGCAAAAAATTTCAGTTACGCGGTTTTGCAGAACGTCGATAGGCGGTTTTGTACTTTAAGCGACGATATGTATGGTACATCAAGGAAGGCTTGCGTCAATGAAGCATAAACGATCATTTATATATCGGTATAACATATGTATGTATGTATATGTATATATATTTGAATGTGTCGACAGGTAGCATGTGTCTATATGTATGTATGTCTGTACATACATTTGTATACCTACTTTAATAAATATGAAATCTGTTTACAAAATCGCATCTTACGTCTTTAAACTGTCATTCTTACCTCAGCAGGTTCTGAGAAGAGAAAATGAAAAAAAACAAGAACTAATTCCAAGCCACATTATATGTATGTACATATATATCTAGAAGAGCTTCTTTTTAACTGGATATTTTAAAGAACTTAATCAACTTGGCGTTTATTAGATTTTGAAAATAATTGTACTTTCAACATAAATAAACCGTTAGAAAAAAAGTATATACGTAAACTTGTTTTGCGAAGCTCCGCCAGTTGGTCATGCGCGCATGTCTCTCCAGGACTTGGTAATCATCAGAGGATCCTCTGGTCTATGCGCTGTTTTTAATTGGCGAGTATCAAGCTCAACTCACAACCTATTGTAGGAATGGGTTTCATAAATGGAAGGACCATACACGTAGGACTTCAAATAAGAGTTTTAAAACTCAGAGCATATTTCACTATCTGCATAAGTACCCGATTATGCTGATCCCACAAGAAAACAGGTTAAATTTCAACTATTTATCAAATTAAATCCGTTTCCGAACCGAAAAAATTTAGTTTAAAGACCTCGACTATTCGATCGAGGCACATAGGGATATTTAATCAATCTGACCGGCCAAGACTGTTTTTGGCTATAAGGGAGATTTAACTCAACTTTATTTTAATTTTTAACTTAATTTTGTAAACACTAAGCAGATTCTCCATTTCATCACGTTGCTGAGACATGGGCTGTAGAGGTCATTTATATTTGGATGCAATACCCCTCACAAACTTGATTATCAGAATCTGGTACTCATCATCAGACAGGATGTCATGCAGGCCATAGTCACTAGGTTGAAGTACGGAAATGGTTTCTCTTGCAAATGGTTGCTGGTTGGTTTTTTCTTCTTTGTTGTCTCATACCTGTCATCAGGGCCGGATTTAAAATTGTTACGCCCTGGGGCCAATATTTGGTGAGGCGCTGAAAAATGTTGTTTAAATCATAGAACGATTTAGGGAACCATTCAATTATAAGTAACCAACCAATTAAGCACAAGAGGTTGACACGACTATGTATATATACCGCGTTCAAAATAAACGGCTCATACACTCCTCGTCATTTGAATAGCGTACCCTATTAATACTAGGTATTTGCAGTTTTCCTTTGCTTTATTTAATACCCATTATTTTTTTATAAGAATTTACCACATTAAACAAAAAAAAAACATCTAAATCCGATTTACAAATTAAAAAAAAATGACAACAAATTTCGGATATGCAGTTTTGTAGCCCATTCCAGTGGCTGTAAAATAGCGTTGATTTTTGACAATT